CTAGTTGATGTAGATATAMGGAAGAATAATGGTAATGGAAGGTAATTGGAAATGGAACGTGTCCATTGTCTGTAAATGTCCAATTAATAAAAACTACTGATACTTATTAGAGCTTGTTTATTTATTTAAAAGTATCTAACTTAAATTCAAACTCTACAAGTACGAGGTTACGGTCAACCGACTTGTAACAATAATATAAGATTCCTCATAAGTTTTCTGAATTTAAATTTWAAAAAAATTAGACTGTAATAGATATTAGATAGTGACATTAGTTGATTAATAATATTTTTTTGTTTATATACAAACTAACAAACTGTAGTTGTTATGTAACTACAAATTTCCTAGAAACGATTGTTATTGAAATCATCAGGAAATAAGCCATTTATATTACAAAACTATTTTCGGCTACAAAGTAAATTATTTTATCATATTTGAATCTGTTTTATATTAATTAATATCAAATATGAATTCAGATATTTCCCATTATGATACAAAGTATACTAAGTTTTACCACAATTTAAACCTGTATGGATAGACGAGTAAGTACTTTTTACAGCTACATATTATAGTAATTTAAAATRAAGGCATTATACCTACTGTGCATTAACCTATTGTTGAGTAYAATTTTAAGTCTTGTCATTTGGAAAGGGTTCATTGGATATTTTGAGGTTCGCTAGCTTCACCTACTAAACATTGATAAATATTTGAGGAACCTAACCTTATGATTTCTTTCCTTTTATGGTACATTTAAACTTACTTACTATAGCTGACCAGTAGGAATGTAACTAACAAAATGTTTCGTCAAAATGTACTCAATGAAAAAATTAACTCTCCTACTTTACCATCCCAATGTTTCATCCCGTGAACGCAATGAACGATCATTCACGAACGCGTTCTATCCAAGCACCATGGGCGTAGGTAAGGGGGGGGGGTTGGGTGTTTAAACACCCCCCGAAATTAAATAAAACAATCTTGAGCTTTTTGTGAATTTGTTCGAGAATATTATTAACTCGCATATTATGTAGGTACTAGGTATAATTTGTGGGAAACCACAATTCACATTGTATACTAGTTGAATTGCAATTGTTGGTAATAACATATAGGTAACAAAATAGGTATAGTGTATAAATCGGTTTTATCGGCGGGCCGCGCTTATCAGCTAGCGGCTTTTTTTTAATATTTTTAAATTTGTAAATTATATGGACAAAATATTGTATTTACCTATATTATAAATAATTATAATTATTATTATATTATTTAATACATACAAATAAATGATTCTTAATTTTATCATATTAATATAGATTTAGACAAAAAACCCCTCCGAAAATATTTCCTACCTACGCCCATGCCAAGCACCAAAAATAATACATACCTACTGGTTGTTATTTGTGACAGAATGATCAATATACATTATTTTAACATAAGTGTGAKACAGAAATACCAATAATGTATCTATATTATAATTATAATTTTACAGTACCTAACGAATCGTACTATCGTCTATCCATCAATAGAACTCGAGAAGAAGTTGGAGCACTTGGAGCTAAAAAATAATTGTAAATCGATGGAAACTGAGTTAAAAGCAATGAAAGAGGAGAAGTTAAAATCAGAAACTTTATGTRAAGTAAGTTGGAGTTAATTATAAAACAAACGGATATGTCGATTCTGAGCGAAAATAACCTAAGGAACTGCTTAGGAATTAATAATATAATATATTTTATAATTGTTACCGATAAATAATAATTAAGCTTAATGATTATTTTTAATTTTAGAAAAATACTGCACAAATACCCAACTATAGATCAAAAATGTTAGAATTGTATAAAATAATCAAAGAATTAAAATCGGAAAATTAAGAACTAGAAATGAACATGGATAACTATAAATCAAAACGTAATGGTCAACAACTTACTAAAAGACGCTATACTTGAAAATTTTACTTTAAGGGTAATTTTACAGAAAAAAAGTTAATTGAATGTCAATAACGACGAGTATAAAAATTAAATTCTTTTAGGGTAGGTACCAGGGTAAAGACAGTTTGACGAGCGCAGGCGTTGGCAGTGGGCATAAAAAAAAATGTTTATCACGACTCATCGTCTGCAGAAATATTCGACACCGAGCTGCAAACAGAAGTCTAATCTTCCAACCACTCGGTTGATAGCAAATCGTCAGGATCGGCGTTAAGGTTGCAGAAYGGTTGAAAACAGCGACGGCGGCCGCAGGGGTCAATGCCGTTTTTGTGGTACGGACGGCGACTAGAATCTGTCGACATGTATATGAATGCATAAAATCCGATGTATATGACCAACATCGGAAAGACTCCGACCAAAAAYGTCAAGTTCATTAGTTGAACTTCGAGGCGAATAGCTGACGAATCGTTGAGCTGCATTGGAGATGCTCCGAATTCTTGGAGAGCCATTTTTATATCCGATAAATTATTTAACACTTTGTGAAAATTTGTATAACACTAAGTAAATATTGYACCTACTCTAATAGTTGTTATAATAATATAACTAGGTACACGCTAATAAAAACTATGGTTTCTAATTCAGGCCAATATTTGTTTATGCTAATATGAAAATATTACAAGCCAATAATGCATTTTGATAGAAAACCGTTTATAATATATGTATGAATTTATTTCATTTTAGATTCATTTTTTATTGATTATGTGTGCGTTATTATTATTTTTGTGACTGTCATCACGTTTTGGGGGAGTATTTGTGCTTCGATTTTTAACTTCAGTACCTACCTCGTTCAATCAGAAAATGAATCTAGTTGATACTTTGGGGGGTCAAAAGTAAAAATTCTTAATATTTTTCCAAATAATCGGGATAAACAAACTAAAAATTAAGGAGACAACGGGAAATTTTACGCACAATCAGTTTTCGACAAAATCGATTTTGRTTTTTGATGTAACTTTAAAACAAATGACCATTGGTACATGAAATTTTCACCGAATGTTTATATAAGTACCTATATTCTATCCACTATGCAATTTTCAAAAATTTTCTACTTAGGTTGAACTATTCATACTATTCATAGGTATTTGCAATTTTCGATCATYATTAGTTTTTTTAAAATTAATATCGATAGAAATTTATTTTTAACCTTCATAAAAAATTTTTCTTTTTAAATCTAAGATTTCAATTTTTTTAATAAATTATAATATATTCTAGACAGATAAACCGTCTCCCCTCAGAATCGTTTTTTGTATATAATCATATAATATCATTAGATTCAAATTTAATTCCATCAATTACAGTAACCCACCTGTAAGTCAAATTGCTTATTAAATATTTAAATATTGTTATATTGATTAATCAATAATTTTTGATTAATCATAAATTTAAAAAAAAAACATAGTATCATAGTGTAGTAACTAGTAACGTTAGATATGTTATACTAATAAGTAATAACCTAAACTTGTGAATTATGATTCTGAATGATGATAATTTTTTTTACAAAAATTATTTTAAATTGTATTAGGACAATAATAAATAAAAATAACTCTTAAAAGTTATTAAAATATGCACTAAAAATGCATATTTGATGATTTTTAGTGCATATTTTTATTGCATATCATTTTTTTTTGTGATAGTATATTATTTTTAAATTTTAAAAATTGTTCTTTTTTTCCGGGATTCGTAAAAATTAAAAAATCTATAGGTGTTCTGTATCTGATAAATTATAATTATTATTATGAAGTTGGTTTAATCAAATTAATAGTTTAGTAAGACTAATAATTCATAGTTATAAATTATATTATGATTTAAATTTGTACTCCCACTTTATTATTTTTCTCTTCAACTTGTGGTTTCACAACTAAGGCAGAAATAACGATTATAATATTACATCTTACCCAATATTCATACATTTACACCTAGTTTTCTGTTATTGAATATAGGTACTTATTGATATTGAAATTCAAACAAATGGTCATCGGTGTATAGTGTAAACATCTTAGAAACTGTTTTAATATTTTGCATTTAGCATGTAAATGTTTTACAAAGTTAATAACAAGCATTTTACAGACAATTATTTTTAGTTTAATGGCATCTTGTTTAGATAAAGTCATTTATCATTATTACCGTTATTCTTTAACAATATTACTAAAATTATTTTTATGCTTTTGTGATTTTTATTATTTTTGGCCATGAAAACAAAATAACTGAAATAGCTAAAAGCAATATGCATTCATAACAACGGGTTCTTAATCAGATACTGTATAATTACAATGCTCATATACGTTTCAATTTGTTTGAAAACCTCATAGAATAAGAAATGAGAAACTATAGTTTTTTTTGTTATATATTATAGTATTAAACTATTAAAACCATATTATTTGTTTTTAAACCGATTGTTTTTCAGCAAAAAAATTCAGAGATAACTTATCTGCATTTAGATAATAAATATTCAATACTTTACATTGTATATCGTATAAAAAAAAAAAAATATATAAATGCATTACCATGATACAGTAGTTGTGACTTAAAGTTGTAAAAATGTAATATATAATGATTTATTTTATCATTTGAATATATATATATAATATGATAAATAGATGATAATGCACACCATGATTTGATTGATTTTACAATTTTATACCTCACAAACATTATTCAAGTCCAATGTGTAAAATAATTTTTATTAATCAAAAAATATATAAGTATATTATATATAGATAAATATAAATATATAAAGTCAAGGGACTCACTGGATAAGGACTATTCAGAGAGTAACAATAATAACAATCATTAAAAAATAATTCATAGTTATTGTGATCTTAATATGTTATAACATAATATAATGTATAATTTTTATATCTGGATAACTTTTCCATAGAAAAAATTATTTATAAATACTAAAACACATAAATCAATAATCAAACTATACAAGAAGAAAATTAATAACCAATATTAATTTTTACTTAATTGGAAAAAATAAAACTCGCGCAAACTTCACTAAAATAAATAAATTAATGACAGTTATATATTTTGCCATAATAAATTGTGTTCAGAAAATTGAAAGGCACTTATTGTATATTAAATTCGTAAATGTAGGTATCTATAGATACCTATCAGAAAGGGAGGGGGATATAACAAATATTTATTTATATAAAAACAAAATTTAAATGGTATGGTTAACAAAATTTGAAAAATAATATCAAATAATCTAACAATTATTTGTTTCCATATGGTAGTACACTGAATAATTAACAAGACTAAATTAATTTGTAAGACATAACTAGAATGTAAAACATGGGTAATTTGAAACCATAGAGTAAAATCGTAGACGTGGACAAACAATAATTATTGTTTTTTACATTTTAAAAATTTACATCCCATCCTGAATTATCATCTGGTGGTGGACTGTCTGCGTCAGGCGGATAATTGTCAAAATTGCTTGTGTCTATAGCACTGCGCACCTTTGGCAAGATAGGAGGAGTAAGGGTTCGATTACGTAGTCCTTCCCAATTGAAACCATCAAACCACCTTGAACACAATAAACATTTGTTTAAAATTTCCCTATCATAATGTATATAAAGATAATATGTAATCTTACTTATGTTTTTGTACTTCAGTAAGCCGTTCAGCTGGATTATCTCTGAAATAAAACATTACCAAATCAATTTACATTTATTTTGAATTTCAAACCTTATATGTGTCATACATATTTGGTTGATTGGGCTATATAGCTTTAATAGTCTCTAGTCTCTATAGTTTTCAAAATGATTATACTCTGTGCCACGAGAAAACGCAACTGGACAACTACCATAAATTGTTTATTCTCTCAGATTTCCTCCACAAACTCCTTTCAAAATTCATTGTATGCAGTTGAAACGCGTTAGTTGGCTCATTGTATATCTTTGAAGCATATCAGCATGCTACATTCATATTCTGGTGGCCCCTTCATAATGCAATGTGCTTAGAGATGACAGAGCTCTAGTATTTGTATGTTCGAGCAAGTTGAATTTTTTTGCAGCACTGAGTATTACACATGAATATAGATTCCAGAAAAGTAAAATTTAGTTAAAGTTACTAATTATTGGTTTACTAATCAGTGTTTAAATTGTCAAATAAATTCCAAAACGGCATAACTTAAATAAAACAATATTTTCTTGTGAGGAAATAAATTAAAAGTATCCCATTCAACCAAAGAAATGTACACAATAAATTATTTTTTGCATTAATAAATAATTCAATAATGACACTCAGCGGATACCTGCATAATTTCTTAATTAAGACTCTAGCATTCCTTGTGATATTTCTTGGAAATTCTATTGCATCTATGCCTTTAAGTATTATGTTATAAGTTTTCATCGGATCGGCTCCAGTGAATGGCGGTGTACCTAAGACAATAAATAACTAATTTGAATAAATTGAAAAGGTCACTTAAAGTATGCAATTATCAAATTCCAAACTTTATGACACATAATTAAATGTGATAAAGGACAATTGTTGACATGATACATTTTTTTATATACAATGTATACATGTATTAATATAATTCTATTAAATATTTTCAAGATAAATATTTTCTCAACTAATTTTTCAACAAGAGGACATACTATTCAAATGTGTTGTTTCTGTGTCTTTACACTTATAAAATAGCAAACCTAGATAACAAATTTTATGACGAATTACATAAATTTGAAATTATTTGAGAAGAAAAACTAAATATAAAATGAAAATCTGTAAGTACATTAAAATTCCATTTATATTCTTCTCTACAAATTCGATAAAATGTAAATTTGCTATGATTTACCAATAAATAAATTATAGCAAAAATATGGCATATACATACTCATTATAATACATTACTAAGGGTGAGTAAGATAGAGATAACTCAAGCTTTTATGACTTCCTCTTAATGGATAAAAACAATCAACATTTTTATTATTAAAATAAAATATAAATGGAAATACATACCGGTAAGTAGTTCAAACATAAGTACTCCTAATGACCAGTAATCAGCACTTATATCATGACCTCTGTTGAGAATCACTTCGGGGGCAACATATTCTGGTGTTCCACAAAATGTCCAGGTTTTTCTTCCGTTCTAATAAATTTAAATAATTTTGAATATTGACTATAATATTGTATAAAACAGAAATTTGTACTAACCTGTAGTTTTTTAGCAAAACCGAAATCGACCAATTTCACATAACCAGTGATATCCAAAAGTAGATTTTCAGGTTTCAGATCTCTGTAGATTATGTTACGAGAATGTAAGTAGTCAAATGCTTCAACGACACATCCAGTGTAGAAACGTGTGGTAGAATCATCAAAATGGCCTTTGTCTCTATAATTAGTTATAGTATATAAAGTAAATAAAGTGATAATAATATGTTAAGCAAATATAAAATATTTACAGTCCTCTAACAGTAAGTATATTACACAAATTGAAATATTATTTTAATGAACAAATATTATTTATATAATTGTATAGAAATATAACTAGACGTTAGTCAGTAAATGTAATTTTTTTAAATTTTTTTTTTATTTTTTTTTAAATATCCAGTTGATAACAAAAATATCAACTATAACAATCTGAATTTTCAGACACCAAAAAATCCAGGTATACCAAACAATGTTTAATGTTTATACAATCCCACTATAAAAAAAAAAAATAATACTATTTCTTTTCCGGCAATATTTATTATTTACCTCAGTATAGTCCACAATTCTCCCCCAAGACAAGACTCCATGAGCATATACAAGTATTTTTGATCTTTGAACGTCTTGAACAACTTAACAATGAATTCACAGTTAGCTTCTCCCATGATCTCTTTTTCTGACATGATGTGCTGTTGTTGTCTAGTCTCGACAATCTAAATATAATAATATACAGATATTATAAAATATACTGAAATTCACCAATTGTTGAAATAAAAAACTATGAATATAATTGGACTGCTCACTTGACTCTTTTTCATTTGTTTTAGGGCAAACGATCTGGATGTGTCGTTGTTTACTTGGACGAGTTCCACGCGACCGAAACCACCCACGCCCAAAGTGGCCAAAACTTGCAGGTCGGAAAGCTTCAGGTTCTGGAACTCCTTGTTTGTAGAGCTATTAACATTTCACAATTAGATCATAAGGAAAAAGAAATGACAAAATTAAATTTACATGGTAGCATTATCTACAAATATATTATATATAGACATATAAATATATAATATGTACGGATGAAAAATTAAATTACATAAATACATATTATTAAAACATTTAATATAACGAAGAAATATGTGTCATGCAACATGCATAATAATATTCTATTGTGTTTTGTAAGTTATATTCGTACTCAATGTACTTTCACGACAAAAAGTGAAGAAAATACCAACTACACGTAATCATATTTTACTATTGAGCTTACCAAGAGCCTAGGACAAGTGCATGTAAGTGAAAATGACGAACATTAGGTAAACGCATGTATTAAATATCTAAAAATGATTGGTACAGTGTATTTGGAAGACATTATCCTAACCTCGTAACCACCGTTTATAATAATAATAATTACATAATTAATAACATAATGTTTGGGTATATGATACAATAATGTATGGATGTCTTTTTACAATATGACGATTATCATATCGATATCCATATAATAGTATATTATATTCATATATTGTTCGTAGTCAGAAAAAAACAATAACCTAGATACGATATTGAGGTGGTGGAGCGATAGTCGAAAAATATAACAATAATAATAATATTATGATAACAGTTATTATTACCTCATTCGACCCAAGACATCGTCGTCTTTGTATCTGGTGCGTATCTCGTCTAGTCCGGCAATCAGTTGGTTGAATGTCTCCCGGTCTATGACCAAACATGACACTCCGTCGGGGTCGCACGCGATGATGTTCGCGGTACGCAAGTCATCGCTGCAAAAAAAAAAAAAAAAATTGTCCGATAAATATCATCATCGTCTAAGCGTTATTGTCGACAAGTAGTTACAACGTTTTCAATATACGAGGACATATTTTGTTCCGTCACAGCCAAATCGAGTGCATGTGAACACGATGGTTAAAGGGGTTGTGTCAATAAGTATACAAAAAATGTGTACGTACCCTTGTAGCGCTTTTTCKCCGAAAAAGTCACCCTTCTGCARCGTCCTGATGTACTTGTCTTCGGCGTTGTTCGATTGTTTTATGGTGACTTTAACCTATTTTCGGGGGACAAAACACACCGGTTATCATTCGTCGATATAATAAATATTATAATAACACTGCGACAAAAGGTCTGCCGGGGGGAGTGATGCGGTAAGCCGGTAATGATATACTTGTAATAACACMATAAATAAATATGCACACTACGGTGGCCTGGAGTCAGTGGCGGATTTGAGGAGGGGACGTGGCGATTACCCTTCCCTAGGGCTTTTTTTTTTTTACTTGAATTGTAGCGCCGTATGATAAATTGAATATGAAATTTATAACTACAACTTCATACTTATAAATAAATGATATAAAAAAAGTATTTTTTTAAATATGATAATTGGAAATGTATATTCAGATTTCAGTTATTACGTCTTTGTTAGTACCTATCAATCTATGATATTAATTCACTCTTTCCTAAAATGATTTTCAGGTCCGCTACTAATTGCCTGGAGTACGCCTACACTTATAGACCACTTGCAATAAATTATACCTATACGCGGGCMGGAAAATAATTCATCGAGTAAAACCAACAATATTTTACTATTTACTACGTACACTACCTACATAATATATAGGGTAGTCATTGTTGATAAAAATAATATTTTTTCATTCATTTATTATATACTTAGTTTTAGAAATAAGTTTGATTAAAATACTATAAAAGCACAAATTATAGGTGACACCGGGTACCTATCTAAAAATATGTCTCTACGTTGAATATTTGATCATTTTCAATCAATCWTTATCAGAACCCTAAATCTTGATTTAAAATTTAAATAAATATMATTTAACATTTTCTCCAGTTCCCATCAGATATTAAGGCTCAAGACGCAAATTTTAAGGACTCTACTTATATGCTTAMTCAACATAATTAACTGGGTTTTAATGTATGAAAATATTTTAAATGACAACTACACGTTATCAAAATATTTACACTTTACAGACATTGGGTATAAATATTAAAAAAAACATATTATATTTAATGGTTGAAAACATAATAAAATTATAAAAAAGAGATATGAAACTGGCCAAAAAAGAGTAAAGATGATTTTATTGAGATAATAGCATATATAAAAGATATTAAATTGGATGACAAAAACTAATAAGAGAATATTAATATTAATTTAAATATTGAAAGCACGTTAACTTCATCGAAAATAAGAATAAATAAAATTCAATTTGATGATGAAAGTGGAAGATGAACCAATAATTGAACTATATAACAATTGTATAGTTTAAGTTTAAGRTTTAGTAACTTGTAACARACGGTGTAGTAATAAACACCATGGGAAAAGATTTATGTAATGTATGTATTACAACACTATCGACTTTGCTAGGTACCTATTGTATGCACTGTTTATGGTGTATTATCCTTATATATAGTACCTAATGCATACWTTGACATCAAGTAGCATACAAATTCTTACAACATTTTCAAAAAAAAAAAAACAAAAATAAGATAATTTTCCCCAAATATATCAGATATTATTAGATAAACCTTTTAATTTTTATAGATGACGAGTGAAATATTGTTCTCTAAATTACTTACCAAATAATTTACCTATTAAAATAATTTATGTCCAAATTTTATTTCAATCAAAAATATAAAAATTAAATATTTTGTGGAACAACGACTTATAGTTCCCCAAAGTCCTCGACAACACATTTTATTTAAAATTATATACATTTGTATACATACCTAATACTTAATGAAGACAAGTCTTAAAAGGGGTTAATATTTTAGTTCTTTTATTAAGTTGAMCCCCTCTAATTTTTTTCTTTCTTCAGAACATTGGGCTTAAATTAAYGGGAGGATCGGGGAAAGAGGGGGTGAATCACTCACCGACATAAAAAMCCGTCAGTGATTTATACATATTATATTATTTTGATAGACTCATTCAAGGTTTATGGTTATATTAGAGGATAAAGAGTTGATATTTTAGATTTTTTCAGACCGAACAGCTTTAGACGATCCTCTCTTGGACGGTATTGGATTAGAAGCAAACCTCTTGTCTTAATGCCACTACGCATATAATTGCAGGTATCGCTGCGCGTATAATATAGAGTCWAAACTATTATTTTTTATACCTTTCCTTTGTTGATTATGAAGAACGTGTCTCCCCGGGCACCTTGTCTGATTATGTAGTCTCCGGCATTGTAGAACGTCTAAAAAATGTAAAGTCAACATAATATACATTAGTCGTTTCATTGGTTATACCACAGAATATATGAAATATRTTTCATGTATTCTGTGGTTAAAAAATCTGCATAATACATTAATTATTTTTTACCTCTTCCAAAACGTCCGAAATCTTTATAAGGGTTTCTTCGGGCAGGTCTTTGAATATTGGAACACTGAAAACATAAGATTAAGATCGGTTTAAGCAATTGGTTATTATTAATTGGAAACACGACTGTACACGGTTGAAGGAATGGAGAGACTGCAATCCAAAATCTTACCTCTTGAGGAAATCTGTATATTCCGTTTGTCTTATGAGACCAGTCCTCATCATAATTGTCTGGAAGCATTGTCGTTCGATCGCCCATAGCTTACAGTCCGTGGCAGCTGGGAAAAGAAAATATGATGAATTAATTATTGACATCAAGAGTTATAATATAATAATATCAAGGTTAAGTATTTTCTATATAATTATAATATTGTTATTGAATATTGAAACAAAATTATTTGATTATCACTATTATCAGATATTATATTAAAAATCACATTTTGTTTTACACAATGTGAGAAAGAAGATAAATGACGTTCCGTTATCTGCAGTTATTAACAACCAATAAAAAAATTCATAAACACAAAACGTCACCGTGACCAGAGGTTTGTACAACTGATGAAAAACACGAGTCCACATGACTGCGAAAGCCAAGTCTGTACTGGACTCGTTTGTTTGTCATACATCTAATATGTATATTATTGAATGGCGTGGCCAKTGATCAAAACAAACATAACGAAAACAATTAGCCAGGCGTTTAATTATGCCAATTGAAATGATTTAGCAATGTATTGCTGATGATGCATTATAATGTGATCACGGGCCGATATGAATGAACTGCACTAGTAAAATATTTTTTTATTTAAGTACAATATACTATTATGAAATGTCTTTTAAAATTTAAATGCTTAGTTTAAGTTAAAGTTAATTTATAAAATTAAGAAATTTAAGTATCAAAAAAGTAAATTATTT